TCTTTTATCCCTTTTAACCCTTACTTTTTACATAAATACACATTATCTAAAACTAAAATTACAATACAGTTAGATGCAGAAGAAACCGCAGCGACTGGAGAGGGAGAGAGAGAGACAGAAAAGCAAAATCGCGCCACACTGCCGCCAACCAGTGGATATTTCATATCACAGGAAAAGTAGACGACCACTTTGGCTAGCTCCCAGAGCTAATAAGTGAGGGAGGGAGTGGAAGTCAGCCAAGAATTCAGCGTTCTGCTGCTCCTAAACCAGAACATTTCACGGTTTCCCTCCCCCCAGCAACTGGCCAGGAATCGACTGGGAAATCGAGCAAATCACGAACTTACATCTTGCGGATAGACATCCGGTGGTCCGAGACGATTTCGCTTTAGCGCCCGTCGCTCTGGTGTCTGATAATGCCAGGAGACCACGTTCAAACTCTTCATCGTTCCCTGTATCGCCTCCTAGGGCATCAGTTTATGGCACCGGCTGAAAGTGTAGGCACAGTGATGCATGTTTTGGCATTCCATGCAAAAACGAAGAACACTTCCACAGCTATTCCAAGCTATTTCAACGCTGTTTCACGCTTTCCCGGGGCATGGGTTTCAGTTCAGTTCATTGACACCTACTTGGACGGGGAACATCATGCTATGATTTTAGCCTTCCAGCTTCTCAGATCCCTGAGTCCAGTTCTTGCTCACATATTTCTCGGTTTGAGAGACTGTCAGCCGTATCGATGGCAAGAAGAAACGCGATGACCAAACAACACAATCCCACCGAATTTATAGAAAAAAATTTTTTTAAAATCAACTATGCTTCCCCATTTTGAATAAGTTCTGTAATAATCAAATTCTTCCGCCTCCTCAAAAGCAGCGCTTGGAACAGTGAAACTCGCCTGGAAGGGACTTTTGAGAATAAGTGCATGAATCAAGTACAATGAACTGACCGAGACACACACACACACCGCACACACCACCCGGCAGACTGTTCATTTGCAAAATGCACGCCAAATCTGGCGAGTCAAAAACCAGGCTCCC